TTCTTAAAAACACATAAAATCATATTATAACATCGACATAGACAAATAATAAAATAGAACATTAAAATCGAGATGTGTTTTGTTACATTGCGCGAATACTCTTCTAGTATCTTTATAATAAGTCTAAAGTTGAATTTCTAAAATTAATTCCATTTTTAACATTAAAATAAATAAAAACACATGTGATATTTATTATTATGGTGGTGGTTGCTATAATAACTAGTGTGGGAACCGCGTACTGGTTAATGATCTGAAGTTTGTCTATAAAAATATATATTAGTTGTTAATAGAATCATCAACAAATAGTATTTAAATAATTCGAAAAAGTTAATAAAATCTAATTAGTGAAATTTTAATATATAATATATATATATATATATATATATATATTGAGAGAGAGAGAGATTTGTTTAGAAATAAAGTTGTAAAATTAAACAAAATGAGTAATAATAACAACAGAAATATTAAAGAATCTGACACAACTCAAGAATAAAAAATACCCCACATAAGGATATGTCTCCTTCAAATATTTCAACTTACATAGATGTAAGAAAATCAATTAAAAGAAGCAAAAAAGACCATATAGGAAAACTTAAAATAGACGATGAGTCAATCCAAAGGATTGTAGAAATTTAACTTCAATTTTTCGTTTTCTTACTTTGTTGTTAAAGGTGTTAGTCAGACGAGCCAAAGGCATAACAAATTGTATACTACCGGGACTAAATTCATAATATTCTTCCCTCTTTCTCTGTTCTTCCTCCATTTGCCGCTCCTATGCCGCCAGCTTATCTTTCAACATATCTATTTGAAATTATTCAAAAATTGACAACATAGAACAATGTTAGGTGATAATGATTAAAAACAATATACAAATGTTACAACTATATGGACAATGTTAGGACATAACAACCCATGCATCCTGACTGAACCTGAATCCGTAAATGCGGCTCTTACGTCGGCCTCTGACAACTAGCTCCCACAACTCTGGGTTGTCAGGAGGAATGGTGCTCGGATCTAACCCGACATATTTATCCTCTCTAAGCTGCGAAAACGTTGCAAATGGTTTACCAAAAACAAAATTGTGTTAAGTTACTTGTAGACAGTTCAGTAGCATAACGACTGTAATTCGAATATACCTATTACATGTTTTAACTACTATAATGCAACTATAACAATTACACTTATCGTCTCCCTAACAACGGCAACAAAAACTAGTTAATAGTCATATATCCTATAAAACTAACTAAATCTGGTACAAAATTGAACTTACCGCCGCATTAGCCGTGCTCGGATAAATGTATATCGGAGGATCCATGGGCGAACAGGTCGCACCCGAAACAGGCTTCCTATTGCTGCAGTGTTTCCTGTCAAAAAAGCTCACTAGTAGTAGGCTCACGGTTCCATGCTTCTTTCTACAATAGACAACTTCAGTTGTTAGTAGACAACAAATTGAGAAATTATATACAATTAATATACTAGATGAAAAAAATACCAGGTGTTCCCTGATGCTAAACCATATTAATAGATCCTCTGGTGTGCCTAGAGGACATCCCCCCATCCGTGGTGGCACTATTGGCCTTATTGGCCACAGACCTACGCCTAAATGTATCGTTACTCCACACCTGCTAAGACATTACAGATAAATCAATGTAAAAACTACCGTGACCCGTTACAAAGATAAAAAATCATATGTACCCTATTGATCATATCAATCCAACGCATCTCTGAGATCCAGTCTAGGTGGTGTCGCTTAAGTGGCGTGAAGTCTCGACCATCGAACCGTACGTGATTGATGTCGAATGCCCGTTTTTTGGACCATTTCCGGCAATCTCTCATCATGTCCACGTACCTATTATGCAAGGTATGACGGAAGGCATTGAAAAACGTCTGACTCTATTTCAGATCCCAACTAAACTGACCCTATACATTCATTGTTTGTATTAAGTAAACAAAATGAACCAAATAGTTTCTATCGACTAAATACAAACCCTGAAACACTCGAACATGCGACTGAAGTGCTCCTGGGGGATGTCCGTGAAGTGAGCCCACAGACTGTTGAACATGGACCTGAAGATTAAGGCGACCTCCCAAATTGCACCCGAATCTTCAAACCTTCCCAATTGCAAAATATACAACACAAAAGACATTACTCTCAATTTATTATGTACTAGTTTAAAACTTGAACCACATCTAGCTACTTACCCTCCGCCAGACACGTGGATCACCGGTCGCTGGCTCGGATACCTAGGCGTCTCTAGCAAAGTATTGTGGCCTCGTTTCTGAATGACAACTTCTTTAATTTTGCATATTGTGGCACTACATTTGATTGCTTCCAACATATAGGTTGTGGGACAAATCAGTTCTTACAAAATACATCAGTAAATTTGCGAGCCCTAAGAGATTCATCAACCTTACATTATTTTCAAAACCATGTAAGATAATCAACCACACAGAAGATAATGCAAGGATCAAGTTTATTTAGTATTTTAAGAAGACCAAGTTGATAGATACAAAAGCATGATTGTTAAATTTTATGAAACCCTTTGAAACCACTATAAAACAAAAATTAGTGTCAACAATTTGCAAAAGGTCATCAGCACACGCTATATCTGTACTTTACTTGGTTGGCTATCTTCACGTTTAAACAAGCACAACCCCTACCCAAATCTATGCAAGTTACAAGAGTAAAATGCAATACATCAAGTAAATCGAATCATCTATGAGCAATGGTTATGTCTTCACCTACTTAAGTTCAGGATTTTCAATATTCAACATAGCAGAGAACTTCTTTGCTTCATCGCCTGTTATCTGACCATCCCCATCTACATATATAAACGCATAAAGGTAAGTATGCAACCAAACTATATCCAATAAAATCATATACTTGTTAAATCCAAGTGTGCGTAAATCATACACACAATATTTAATAGAAATTTCAACGTGAAACTAGGGGTATTCACAGTCTGGTTTGTGATCAAATCACACACAAAATTCAGTAGAAATTTCAACCGATTTGAGCGGTCCAACGTTTTTTAAAAACCCCTACTGAATGCACAAATTAAACACTACGCATATACTTAATTTACACACGTCAAGATAAAAACACTATGCATATACTTAATTTACACACGTCAAGATAAGCAAACAAAAAAGATACAATATGAAAATGAGTGTCAAGCGGTCAAAATTTAGAGGATCCAGGAATTTAATTAACCATTGGTATATATAGATATGCACACATAATGAAACTACGACCTGAATCAACATAGTTGGACCATTCTTAATATATTTTTTTGATGATCCCTAGAACAAGAAGCGATGGAACCTGTAACACTCGCCATAGTTGAACCTGTTCCATGGAGATAAGCAAACACACAATTACAATATGAAAATGAGTGTAAAACGATCAAATTCAGAGGATCCAGGAATTTAATCAACCATTGGTATAGATATGCACACATAATGAAATGAAATTAAAACCTGAATCGACATAGCTGAACCATTCTTGATATATTTTTGATGATCCTTAGAACAAGAAGTGATGAGACCTGTTACAGTCGCCATAGTTGAACCTGTTCCATAGACATAAGCAAACACACAAATACAATATGTAAATGAGTGTAAAACGATCAATTTCAGAGGATCCAGAAGGTTAATCAACCATTGGTATAGATTTGAGCATAAAATAAAATGAAATGAAATTACAACCTAATCAACATAGTTGAACCATTCTTGATAGATTTTGTTATGATCCTTGGAACAAGAAGCGTTACAATCTCCATTTTTCATTTGGAAATCGAAGCAATGATGCAGCGAGGGAAATTTACTGAAATAGTCATTTTACAAATGGTTTCACTTTTAGCCACTTTACAAGGCCCATTCCTGAAATAGCCCAATTTCACATGGAAGGTTTATCTTTGTATAAAGTCCATTTAAAAAAAACTAAATTCTTAGGATTTGATTTTGATGATTATTTACCAACTTGTCTAGGTTTTCAATTTTGTTTCATTACGTTTAAATATAAAATTAAATATTTTACAAATTAAAATTAACCAACCAAATTAATTAAAATAAACACTAAGGTTGTAAACGAAAATTGACCAAACAGGTATTATGAATTTGTTTTTAAAATTAAGCGGATGCATTTTAAAGATTCTTTTTTTTTTCCAGTTGTGATTAGATGATTGTCCGGTGCCAATTGATCCATAATAGGCCCGCCCCTCTTCTTTTGAATTCCAAGCAACATATAACAATAAAAATAACGTTACTTAATTGAAAACTTGGTAAAATATGTAAATATCATGTTAAAAAAATATAAGAATAGTAAATATCAATTTCATATCTATTGCAATTCTATGTTGTGAATTAATTGGGTCCATTTCGAATATAAAAGTTACTAATTTAGAAAACATAATTAATTGGAAGTGTAAATGTTTATAAAACGGAAACCGAAAAAAGAAGTTTTGCAATTCGCAAATCCCGAATTCCGTTTGACGATATTACAACATAGCGCATTTCCTATGATCGGGGTAATGTGGTTGTAGCTTATGAGCGACTAGACTAACACAAGTCTTTAATTTGGCTTTGTGTTTGTACAAGGTACAAAGAGATGGCTTGATGGTCTATGACGTACTCCAACTGAATTGAATTCAGGTGGAAGTCCAAACATCTAGTGTCAACGTTTATGCCACTCATAAATCAGACAATGTCTTGTAAGCCTTTCAGTTCATCTTCGTTGAACAAGAGTGAGCAGAGATGGTGTTCTCTTCGTGGTTCTTCTTCCGAGCCATATACCATCGTTAACTGGCCAAGATGCATTTTGGAATCAAAGCAACTAATCCACATTGCACCTTGGGCATGAGACTCATATATACTTAAGGTACTTTTGAAGTACAAGCAACGGAAGCATTTTTATTCGTACTTTATCCGTTCCTACGAAACAAATGGTAGATAAACGAGTAACCGTTACATGTGAATTAAACTAATGATTAATTTAAATCTTTGAAAATAAGTTGAAGAGCTTTTTCCTTCTGCAGTGTCACCCCGAACTTTTCCTTCATGTCGAGCTTTGCAGGATCTTCATCATCGGGAAGAACCCATTCAAATTGGTGAATTAACGATGCTAATATAGATTGAACACTCTTGATACCAGAGGGTAAACCAGGACACATCCTTCTCCCTGCACCAAATGGTATGAACTCGAAGTCTTGGCCTTTAAAATCCAAATTCAAGCCAAGAAATCTCTCTGGTTTAAACGAGAGAGGGGCTTCCCAAACTTTTGGATCTCGGCCAATTGCCCAAACGTTAATAAATATTTGGGTATCTTGAGGGATTGTATAGTTCATAACCTCACAAGTCTCAAAAGCACAACGAGGAATCAGGAAAGGCACTGGCGGATGTAACCTTAGTGTTTCTTTTATACAAGCGTTCAGATAAGACAATTTGGAAAGTTGAGATTCCGATATAATCTTGGAGTCGTTACAACTGTACTTCAACTCTTCTTGTACTCTGGACATGGCTTCTTTATTTTTCAACAGCTCAGCCATGGCCCATTCAATAGTCGATGTTGTAGTATCTGTACCTCCTATGAATAACTCCTACAGTTAAATACAACATCGATCTTAAATTTCAAATATTCAAGGCTTTTCAGATTAAAATTTTTCTAGTTCTTCAAAACTTGTTCAAATTTTACAATCTTGCAAAGGGGAAATAACAAGTGGAGTTGATCAATATATCTAGAGAACATCGATCATAAACTTAAATCGACCGCAAACCAAAGGAATTTACGGAAAGAATCAAAGGGATAAGAAAACGCTTACCATAGCACATATATTGATTTGGTCGTTTGAGAATCCATTTTCAAGTAAACGGTCTAAGAAAGATTTTTCTTCCTCTTCCATCACCGTCGTAGAAGAATTAAGTAGAGCTCTTCTTTCGTCTACTATGTGCTCCCAAAAGCTAAAAACCTCCCGAATATTTTTCAGGTTTCCCTTCCTTAATCCTTGAAGATCGAATCTCTTAAACATGGGGAAAAAATCGCTTATATTTGGTCGCATACCATCCTGGAGTAGCGTAAAAAGTTTCTCTTTCAGGCCGCCCGCGGTTCTATGTTCATCTTCAAAATCAAGAAAATCTTTGGCGAAGAAGACATTGCTCAATGTGTTGAATATTGTTGTAAAAACAACATCCCCAATGTTCACAACTTGACCTTTCTTACCATGCAAGAAACCCAACATTTGACCCAACTTTTCCAGTCTCATACTAGACTGGTCTTGCAAGGCTTTAACAGAGAACATCTCGTTTCGGCAAAGGGTTCTTAGTGATCTCCAGTGTTGGCCACAATCTGCTGACCAAACGAGGTAGAAGGGGGCGAAACTATGATCAAAGGCGTTGGGAATTGAGCGAGAAGAGAGAAGACGGTCGTGTGTCTTGAGAATTCCTAACGCTGCGTCGGGAGAGGACGCAACCACAAGAAGTTGTGTACCCAACTGGAGGGAGATGAGCGGACCGTACTGTTGAGCAAAGATGGCGATGGAAACGTGAGGGTTGTTGCCTATTTGGAGTATATTTCCGATGATCGGCCATGGCTGTGGCCCAGGTGGGAGGTTCTTGGAAGATCTAGAATACTTTTTAACGATGAAGAATAAGAAGAGAGGTGTTAATATAAGAAAGATAGAAGATAAGAAACCGATTTCCATCAGAGCTAGTTGTTGAGTGAATCACTTGGCTGGTAGATCTAGATAGGGTTATAAGCTTTTCATTAATTATTACTGAAGTGTGTACAGTTAATTATAATCAGTAAAACTAATCTGTATCAGTGACTGTAATAAAATAACGTTATTAGTGACGGTTTTACGATCTCAAGGTTGGTTTTTTCGTAATTTTAATACAAGATAAGATATCCTATTATGTAACAAAATATATCACCTCCATTATTGAATTGTCAATTGTATATATTATACACCCCCCACGTGATGGTTTTTTTATTGTATAAAATTTTACGAGAATTAATTATTGGGAATAGGTAGATCGGTTCTGTTTGATACAAGATAAAAGAGGATGAAGGTTATATATATATATATATATATATATATATATATATATGTGATGATGAATCAAAAGCGGATGAAACACATCCTTAAAAAAAGGTTTGTTGTGACCATGTGATATCAGGAGCTGATTGTGTCAATAATAAACGAATAATGAATAACCAAAAAGATGAGGAATAAGAAGGTCATTTTGATGATTTTGCCTTCGATTCAATCTGGGCCATGGGACTTTAATCGTCCAGAGTTTTAAGGTAGACAGATGAGATGGCTTTTCGTGCAGCTTAAGTCATCCAAACTTTGTAGGTGTGAATCACACTCGTAGCTCCTATGGGTTCTCATGCGGCTCTACCTTCACCCATGCAGCCTTGGTTAGAAGACTCTTAGCATACCAGCGACTTTCTTCATGCAGTCTATGCTGCCCCATAAGTCGCCTGCAACCCCTTTTGGTGCATGTGGGCAGGGGCGTAGACAATTGGCCCCCTCCAACACCCAACTATTAGCCAACCACAAAATTAAAAGATTTTAGTTTAGTTACTAAGAAACAATCAAAAGGTCCATCCCTAAGCCCCAACATACGTTCTCTTAATCAGATTTGAAAGAAAACCTTCTCTCTTTTCTGGTCTTAATTGTTCTACAAGTTTTCAAGGACGCCTTTAATTTATCCATTGTAATGGTTGTAATCTCCTAAATATATCATCATTAAAGTGATCGTCGATCAGTTATTGGCGTCCTATGACTGTGGTTTTCCGATTTTCGGGTTTCCCCATAAAAACCGTGTCTTTTTAACATATGCTTTATATTCCATCCATATGGGTTGATTATTGTTTAAACTACTTAGTTGTTCGTCTTGCACTCTCAATCATATTTCCACTAACAATCTCGATATAGAGCTTTAGTTCATTATTCTTAGGTTATGTGTGTTTTATCTAGATTCAACTATCGAGCATTATTGCTTTTGTTAATTACACAACACCCGAACTAAAAAGAATTTTGTCTTAATTCCTATTTAATGTAACAATGAAAATTGATGCATAAAACGTTAAGCTTTTTCTTATTTCGTACACATTTTGACTGATAACCAATAGGTCTTGCTGACGATGATAATGTCGTTATATTTCCAATCTTTATTACATGATAAAACGTAACATTAAAATCAACCACCGAAAAATTGTTTATTAATTAAATGGGAATGAAATTTTACAAATGAATATCAATAACGATTACAAATGGGCCTTAGACCAGGGTTTTGAAAAGCCCAACTAACAAATGATAACCCCATTTCAAATTAATCGGATACCAGATCTTCATCTTCAGTTCCTCACCGTGGCGTGAAGTAACTTAGCAGCAGCCATGGTTGATCTTTTGTCATTTTCTTACTTCAATCATCCTGTTTGCTAACGATGCATATCAAATTCCCTGTTGCCATTAATGAATTTTTAAAAATTCAACCATTTTTTGACCAAATTAAATAGGGAGTTTCTAACCTCCGTTAGATCGTCTCCGCTAGGCCTGTAACCGAACGAACACGAATGGAGGTTTGTTGGTGTTCGTTCGTTTAACTTAACTGAACAAACGAACGAAAATGAACGGTAAACGAACAAATTTCTTTGTGTTCGTGTTCGTTTATATTCGTTCGTTAAGATGCTAAACGAATATAAATGAACATAAACGAACGAACATAACAAACATGGACAGACAGACTTGAACGAACTAGAGCTCAAGCCACATGGAATATATATATATATATATATATATATCTATATAGGGGAGCGATCAAATGCAAACCACTCAATTTGTACAAACCGTGCAAACCGCATTCAACCAATCATAATTTTTCATTTTGTTCATTTTTTTGTAATTATGAGAGGTTTATTAATCATTTTTAT